CAAAAAAAAAAAAAAAAAAAAAAAAAGACAGTGTGGCCCCAGCCCAGACCTCTTCCTGCCAAGACATTTTGGTTGTAGATGTCTTAGAATTACTTAGATTTTTAGCTTCCAGCAATCAAAGAATAAAAAGAATAAGCTCTATTAATTATTTATTTAGTCATTCATTGGACAAATACCAGCTTCCTGGTCTCTGTCAGTGTTTACATTATCGATTGCTGCAAAATGAACAACCTCAAAACAAAATGGGTGTTTTATAAAAACAATTTATTATGACTGCTTGCAGATTAATGCTTTGGCTGGGTTCAGCTGGGGGAATCCCATGTGGGGTCTCATGTGGTTGCAATCAAATCCAGCTGTGGTTGGACATTCAAGATGGCACCCCAAGAGCTGTGCTCGGTGCTCCTGGGACTTTCCCTGTCCATGTAGCATCTTGTCTTCCAGGCCCTCTCCACTCCACTCAGGCTTTGCACACCATGGTATCCTTAGGTACACTTGCACCTGTATGTGGCAACTGGCTTCTACAGGTGAAAGCGGGAACTCTCAGGCCAGTTAAGGGTCATACATAGAATAAGTACAGTGTCACCTCTGCCACCTTCTATGTGTGAAAGCCATCAACAGAGCCTAGACAGATGCAAGAGGTAAGGAAACAGACTCTCCCTTGTGATGGGAGAGTGACATAAAAGAGTATGGGATGGGTGGTACTGTTGCCAGCATTTTTGGAGGCTACTCTCTGCCCCAGGTAGGCACTATGTGTGGTCAGGATGCAGTGGTGAGGCCCCTCAGTGCTTAGATTTAATGTCTAGGAGCCAACACACACATTAAACAAAGAACCATGCCATGCAACTCATTATTTCCACACTAAAAGGAGAGGTGCTGCAAAGGAAAATGATGGAAAAGGAGAAGAACACAGGAGATTTGGAAGGACTGCCTCTTGGAGCACAAATCTCCTAGACTTAGACCAAAGCATAGGCAGGAGTTACCCAGGTGAGCAGCATTCCAAATGGGATCCATGTGTGAGAAAGGAAGAGAGTGAGCTGAAGGGTAGGGAGCAAAGGAAAATAGGTGCAAAAGGAGGCTAGGGAAATGAGCCTGGTACGCGTGAGTGTTTAACACCCTTAGCACAAATTGAAAACACTGGTTGTTTAGGTTATGCTCAGCAAGTAACATAAATTGAAAATAGTATAAGAAAGATAGAAATTCTTCTCTCCCTCACATGAACTAAGTGCTAAATAATCCAACAGAGGCTGGGGTGCCTATTTGCAGTATCAGGTACCAGACATCTCTCAACAACCACCTTCAACACACAATTGTCCCCTACCTGCTTGAACTCCAGCCATCACATCTACATGGCAGCCAGCAGGAAGGAAGAAGACTATGTTTTCTCTTTTTCAAAATGCACATCACTTCCACTTACTCTCACTGGCCACAGTTTAATCACATAACCAAAACCTCTGCTAAGTAGGTTGAAGCTTTATTCCAGGTGCCCATATAATTACTAAAGAAACTGGATGCTTTATTACCAAGTAAGAAGAGGAAAGTGAATAAAGCACCAGTTTCTGCTACATTACTAAAAGGCTTTAAAGAAGGGGATTATTTTTAAGATTGCCAAAATGTGCTGTAAAAGACAAGACAGGGAACCAGGGATTTAGCTCAGTGGTGCCATTGCCTGCCTCTTAAGTGCAAGGTCCTGAGTTCAATCTCCAGTACAAAGAAAGAAAAAAAGACAAGACAGGTTTCATTGTCAACAGTCTCAAGTTCTACAGACCCCACAGTGCACATGCTGTAACTCTCTGGACAAACTTGAACATTCGCCTAAATCCCCTGGGGCATCAACTCAATGTAAAAAGGAGGTGTTCCTGTCCGTCTCATAATAGTGTATAGAACCGATGAAGTAATAATAGTAAACGAGATTAGCAGGAAGTGAAAATCATCAATCCTTTTTGGGGAGGATGTTAATTTTGAGAACCATTTAAAGATCTGGAAGCACTAAGTAAATAAACACTGCTCCCTCTTTCCAAGGTTCCTCTGAGACCCAGTAGCCAGCAAGTGGTCCTTCTATGGACAGGAATGGGAGACACTCCATCCTGTGTCCTTATGTGAAGAGAACCGGTATCTGCTCCCCAGGCACAGACCAATCATGAGTCTTTGGGCCAGGCTCAGCCAGCTGAGATAAATGTCTGGAATGCAGTTTCCAGGGAAGTGGGACTCATTCACATGACACAGTGAGAGAGGCAGGATTCAGGGCGAGTTGGTCTTGAAAGCCTGAATTCATGGCAAAGGCAGGGACCAAATTAGAACCCATATATTCTTGCTTAGAAAATCTCTCTCTAAAGATATAATAAGATCATACCTGCCCACTATGCTAAATGGAAGCCTCCGGTGTAAATTCTTTACTATCTCATTCAGTACTCAGCATTGTGAAAAGGCAGATGCCAGTGGTCACCAGATGGAGTCCAGAGAGGTCCCCCAAAGAGGAAGTGAGGACCTCAACTCCACCAAACCATTGGTTGTAGGTTTGCTGACTTAAATAGTATAAGGAAGGGGCACTGGAAAGGTTACTTAGGCAGCATTAAAGCAGCGCGCACTCAGAATGGGAAGCGCCATGATCGGCGCTGCGGTTTGTGAGGGACTGCGGGTGTGTTCCAAATGGATGAGCTAGGGCAGTGACAGCCAACCTTTTGGAGCTTTCAGTGACACAAACAGCCTCATGCAGCACTCACGCCCTAGGTTTGCCACCGCTGTAGGGTGTGTATTCCTTCTCTGTCAGACTCCTCCTTGGGTGGGCTAGTTTAGAATGCAACCATTTGCACGCAC